GATCTACATTTGGAATCACTAGATGAACAATGAACCAACACCAGGAATATTGGACTGGGAATTGGTGAGAACAAAATCAATAACTGATGGAGCAGGAGATTGATACGGGATCAGGAAAGACGTATGGATATTTACTTCTGGAGTTTCTGTGGGCTGACAGGACTTCCTGGTTCCTGCCTCTTGTAGTTGTTGAGCTGCAGATCCATTTCTCTCCTCTCTGTGTTCATCTCTTTTGTTCTGAGTTACTCAGACAGGAGACTGTGATCAGTGATCTGTATCTCAGCCATATGTTCAGAAATGTAACGTGAGAGTTTCCCTCGTCAGCTGTTCTGCTGTAGGTCAGCTGACAGTGTGTAGTCGGAGACAGAGCTGACAGAACTAGACTTTGAATCCTAACTCATGGATGAGACATGTTTACGTTTGGTTTGGTTTTAGTTGTTAAAACGTCAAAGGAACTCTAGTTCTAGTTCCACAAGTCGGGCCGCTGACCAGAGGTTGAAGCCCCTACAAAAACATGCACTTTTGTATTTTTTAAGATCTATTTTTTTTAAGCGAACTCTGCTAAATTTATCAGGAGAGACTTTTATCCAAAAAGAACTTCGAAGTGGAGCTGGGTTGAACTCTTGATTTGTTTGTTCGTATCTCAAGGAAAATTTCTTACTCGTTACTTGGAAAACATGTATTTGTCGAGGCCCAACAGTATATTTATATATGAATATAGATGTGTATTATATATTTATATATCTGTGTGTGTGTGTGTGTGTGTGTGTTTGTTTCCCTGCTGCTGTTTCTGCATTTCATTTCATTTGTCTGTAAATGTCATGTGGACTCTCAGGGTGACGTCTGAGGAGAACGTTGTTGAAGGAGGCAGCTGGAGGGTTTTCAACAGTCTTCAGTTGTGTGTGTCTGTGTGTGTGTGTGTGTGTGTGTGTGTGTGTGTGTGTGTGTGTGCAGGACTGCCAACTCTCTCTTTATGCAGAGGCTGGCAGTAGAGGTGTGTGTGTGTGGGGGGGTGTATTTCATGCAGCAGTGAGTCCTCAGAGATCCACAGTTTGTGAGCGTCATAAGAAGCCGAGCGACTTCACTGTCTTATTACAGCTGCTTATCCACACACACATTCCTGTTCTTAGCCACCCATCACTGAGGTCCCTGCAGTGGAGACAGCAGAGCACGGTGGTGCACAGAGGAACTGCACGTATGAGTAATGCTTTTTATTAGATGCTCTGAGGAAAGTAACATCAAACCAAAGTAGGAAATTGATACGGAGACACACGGGCGGCTCTGTAAAGACCTGCAGCGTCCTTTATCTCACACAGTCAAAAGAAAATGAGACGCACGCTGTGCATGCGTGTCCAATATCTTGTTTCTGTGAGGAAACCTGTCAGAGTGAGTGAGCTGTTCCAGCAGACTGCAGGTCCAGGCCGTTCATCACAGCTCTGACATGGCTGAGACCACTGCTGCAAAACTGCAGGAAAATCCTGCACTTTTGTTTTCACCCTCAGTGCAGAGTTATCGACTCCGTCGTTGCCTTAGAAGATTTTGTTTGTTGTTTTCATCACAGCTGGAGGGATTTGTTTTCTCTGCCTTCAAACTGTTTTGGCCGTCGTCGCTGCATCTGCTCCGCAAACTGGAACTAGATCAGGCACGAGGTGTTTCTGTGGTTCTCAAACTGTGGGCCAGGTAGTGATTGTGGTACAGTGTGTGGTTTCACAATTATTGAAGTACCAGTTGAAGTACTACTTCAATGTACAGTGTTTGTTGTTAAGTAGTAAATAGTTTGGTACTGCGAGACACAGATACCTTCTGGAGTACTGCATGTTGTGAGACTACAACTTCCTCTGTCCTGTCCTCAGGTCAAAGGTCAAATGTCTTCAGTCTCATTGACATGTCATTGACTACACTTGACTAAAACCTGATCAACTCTATGACAAGTTCATTCAGAACCAGGGGTTGATCACACTCTGATCTGTAGCAGTGAGTCACTGAGTCAGAGACAAAACTCACAGTGACACGTCTTAGTCAGGATTCAAACCAGCGACCTTCCTGTGGTGAGGCATCTTGACAAACCACCACATACCTGTAGGAACCATATTATTCCAAATGCTGACAGAATGTTTTCCTGGCAGTACAAGGACAAGAACAGGTGATCAGTGGGAGTTGGACTTTATTCTGACAAACGTCAACATTTAATCCGTTCCAAATCCACTCCCTCTGTTTCCTGGAACCTGGTTCTCCTTCACTCGTCCTCAGGTCTCTCGTGTGTCTGTGTTTCACTGCGGCGCAGATTCAGTTTCTTACTCTCAGAAAGGACACTTTGTTTCCTGTTATGAGAGGAAACTAATGGAGGGCAACACCCGCTGCAGAAAAAGGAAACAAACAAAAAAAAAAAAAACTTGCTGAGTCAGAATTATCACTCTGCCTTCTGTAACTGTACACGGCTGTGGGAACGCAGCCATCTCCTGGTTTCATCCCAGCTTCCTGCCTGACTTCAATAAACATGAGTGTTACCAAATATAGGTCACACACACACACACACACACACACATCATCAGCCTCCCGTCTATTTGTTCCGGCTTTAAACCGTCCGACGACTATTTTTAGCTCCATGTCGTTTGATGCAGCACCAAGGATTCCTCAAATCTGATCATCACACCTTCATTTGTTTATTCTGTCACAGTTAGATCCTCATTAAAACAAATGAGGGATTGTTCAGGATATAATCTAAAATAATCTGATTTGGTCGGACGACAAGTGAAAGTTAACGACATGTGTGTCTTTGTCTTTAATTGTTTTGAACTTGAAATGAAAGAATGACAGGGAGTAAAACAGAGAGGTAAATATCCACACACTGAAATATATCCTGATCTCTCCTGATCCCGTATCAATCTCCTCAGTCATTGATCAGTTATTGATTTTTTTTTCTCTCCAACTCCCAGTCCAACATTCCTGGTGTTGGTTCATGTTCTTCTTCTTTTCTTTCTTCTCTAGTGATTCCAAATGTAGATCCCTCTGTTCCAGTGTTAGGAACTGATGTTCAGATGGAACAGAGTCTCAGACTAGGATCACACTGGGACTACAGAGACACTGTAGTCCCGCCCCCCCTCGTCTCTGTTCTCCACCTGTCATGGATCATGCTAGGAACAGAGCGCAGCACATGATCAGAATAAATCCGTTCAGCAGCCTCTGAACCTTTCATCAGTCCTGTGCGGCAGGACTGTTAAGTAGACGTTCAGACGTTCGATTCCTGCGTCAGTGGTTTTTCATCAAAAGATTAAATTCTTCATACACCTCGTCTCTGTTCTCCACCTGGTCCAGAACGTCCTGCCTGTCGTCTCAGTCCTAAATTAACAGTCCATGTGTCTGTGGGAACATGACGACGTTCCCATGATGCATCACACTCACCGTCATCTGTGCAGGTGTGGCAGTAGAAGGAGTTGACTGTAACCTTGGTGTGACCCAGATACTGGTCCTCCATCTCCACTGGACCATGGAGCTGTCCAGGGTCCTGGATGGAGGCGAGGTGAACGGATGGGAATGTCAGTCAGTAAAAAAGATTTGTAAATAATGTTTTTAGCGCTGTATTGTGTACACATCAGTCAATAACTGCAGTAATTGCGTTCGGCTCTGGACTGCAGCAAATGTGTGTCAGTGAATCTCGTCCGACCAGTGCTGGTTATTGACCCGGCTCCTGTTGTCTCTTCATCTCCCGTCCACGGTCCTGGTTGATGAAGTCATCTGTTCAATCCTAACTGGTCAAAATCAACAAATGTTCAAAGTTCAAACATGATTCAATCACTCAGTTCTGGTGGTTCTCCATCCAGGACAACAAACGGTTTTATGTGATTGATTCAAGTTCAGGATTGATTTTCAATTTCAGATCAATATCATTTCTGCTTTAAGGTCAATTCCTCGGAATTTATTTTAGATTCTAGATTGTTGGACTAACTCTGGATGAAAATAAGAAAAATAATCCAACTATTGTAGACATTTTCTATCAATGAACAGAATCAGAGTTAATTTCATCAGTAGTTAGGCCTCCTGCCTTACAGCAAGAAGCATTTCCCAAAGAGAGTGGTGACAGTGGAAGAGTGGTTAGGCCTCCTGCCTTACAGCAAGAAGATACGTTCGATCCCTGGTCTCAGAGATTTGATGTTGACTTTGTCTCTATGTGACGGAGTAGAGAAGTGTCCAGGTTGTAGCTACGCCCTCACCCAGGGACAGCTGTGATTGGCTGCTCCAACTGAAATATTTAAGATGAAATATTGACCTGGAGCCCAACAGAACGCTCCTGGTCTGTGGGCCGTGGTCTGTGAGCCGTGGTCTGTGGACGTCCGGTCTAAAGAGTGCTCAGTGATTTTTATTTCCCAAAATTTGAATTTTACCAACTTTCCCTGACTTCTTCTTCTCCTTCTTCACTCGAGACACCGAGGAGCCCAAACAGTTCCTTGGGTCATTTCACATCCAATATTTTATTTCATTTTCCACTATGATCCCACAGAAACTCATAAAACCAGGAGGACAACAACCAAACTCTCTAAATTGTACCTCAGTAAACGGAAGCACGGCTGCAGTAAACAAGCACGGCTCTCTTTAACGAGATTTAAAAGTTTTTGTCATAAAGTACAATTAGCTTTTGTTTTTACAAGGTCAAATTTATACTGTAGTATTAAATTATATTTATTTCTTTTGTTTCAAGTGTTTCACAGTGAGAGTGTGCCAAGAAGAGCGGGTCGAGTCGGCTGCCGTGACTCTGTTTGAAGTGCATGTGGTCACTAGGGCTGTACGTTGGTAGTACCACGATACAGGGGCAACGATATGATATACTGCGATACTAGAAGCACAACAATATATAGTTGCCCCCCCCCACATATCAATATGTGATGTATCAATATTTTTTTCCACCCCTAGTGGTCATGCAGGTGTTTTTATTTCGTCCTTCTTTCTTCACCACTTCCATCTGTTCTACCAAATCACTCACACCGTGTTTTTCTGTCTTCTAGGTCGGATGGCGACACCTCCAGGCTGCTCAGGTACTTGCAGCTCCAAACTAAACCCTTGTGTTTGAAAACCAAAGTGTTGTTTTTTATTCCAGTGATGCGGAGGATATTTTTAGATTTGATGTCAAGGTCGGACTTCGTCATTAGCTGAACTTCAGGATGTTTACTGAGAGCTGAAGTCTGGTTAGTCAACATGGGTTAGACTGGATTAAACCAGTCCTACTGTATATGATGGGTTACCATACATGACTGGTACCAGGGGCCTGGACTGGTACCAGGGGCCTGGACTGGTACCAGGGGCCTGGACTGGCCTCATACAGTAGATCTATTATTCAGCCAGGGCAGTAGAAATGTTTCCATGAAAAAAAAAAAAAAAACAAACAAACATAATGAAGAATTAAAAAAAAAAAAGAAATTCAGCTCCAAACTGGTCTTAACCTGTGAACGCAGTGACCACTGCAGTACCATGGATTAGATGAGATGAGTAACTCCGTCTATAAAGTACTTCTTTATTGTGTTCCATCTTTTACTTTACGTCTGACCTGAGAGGAAATGAACAGCACAGCTGTCCTCACTCGCAGTACTTTATTAACAAAGTACTACTGTGAAAATGTTCCTGTAACTTTCTACCATATCTAGTAAGTACACTAATTGTGCAGTACTGTATGAATAATTAGTCATTAAACGTGTTTATTTAATTAATGGTCATTTTGATCGATCTCAGTTTGTACCCATCGGTACCAAAGGCACAGAACGGTGCCTTAATCAGTTTCTCAGTAATTAAGTCAAGTTTTCGAGCTCATGTCGTACAGGAAAGAAAACAAGAAAACAAACAGCGGCACATTAGCAGTTCAACACTGGCCGAGCGTCATTAGTGTAAGACGTACTGCTAGCATAACAGCCAGCGCCGTCTGTGCAGCAGCGCCAGCTCATTTATAATTAATCATGATTAATCGTGAACATAATTAATCTTGACAGATTGTGATTCATTAAGATTAATCAACAATTTTGAACCTGGTTTAATAACAAATGAATATGATAAGTGTTTGGGGCAGCACAGTGGTAGAGTGGTTAGTTCTCCTGCCTTACAGCAAAATACGTCACTAATTTCCTGGTTTGATCCTGAGACTTTTTTTGCACGTTTTCTCCATGGGCTTTTGAAAAAGTTTGGGTTCACGCTGAACTGACCACAGGTGTGAATGTTAGTGTGAATGGTTGTTCGTTTTTATTTGTGACCTTACGATGGACTGCAGAACAGTCTGGAGGAGACCCCGCCCCTCATCTGAGTACACTCCAGGTTTAATGATCTGAACATGATTAAAATGTGTGAAATTAAATTGTCGACCAAATCATTAAAAAACCAACGCAGTAAATGAAGTTTGGAGTTGGACGTAGAGCCTCCTGTGGATTATCACCTCATTTACCACAGTTATGACTCCCCCTATCTGTGGACACCGGTCGTTACCAGTCAGATGTTCTAAATAATTCAGCGCTGTAGTAATGGACCAGTGTCGACTGTGTCGACTGGTGACCATGGAGGTACATAGTCCAGTCAACACTGGTCCATTACAGCAGTGATGCTGGTCAGCCCACACTGGTACAGAGGTACAGTGGTACACTGGATCAGTGGTACACTGGTACGCTGGTATGCTGGTACACTGGTACAGTGGTACACTGGTACACAGACAGAGTGTGTAATGAAGTATATTCACTCCATTAGGTTAGTACTTCTCACTTCTGAAATGACTACTGTTATCATTTTTATAATTATTGTTCATCCTTTAAATGATGTTTTACACAGTTGAACTAAGTGTCTGGAACTGGAACTGTTCTTTTCTCTGTTGTCTTTTTGTTGCTGCTGGTTTTGTGTGTTGTGAATCGGTGAAAATGTTCCTTCAGTTTTTAAGGAAACAGGAAATAAACTCAGACGGTTCTAGATCAGAACATGTTGATGTTGATGATGAAGCTGGTCAAAACCAGAGACACACAGAGACCGGTTTGAACTGGTTTTACTGGGTCGTCAAGACTCAGAACAAATCCTAAAGATATGTTAAATACCTCCTGGAGACAGTTTCTATTAAAGTACTAGCTAAAGGCTAATGCTAAGCTTATAGCCGACTTTTTTTTTTTTGTGACTCCTCCAAAGATCATTTGTCTTTTAAATATTGCTGAGTTGTCATCGATTCCATGGTGGCCGTCCGTTGCCTTTTGTTTTCGGCTCCAGTGAATTTACAGCAGCTGTTAGCTCCAGTGAAGTCTTGCTGCGTTTTAATGGCGGTGATTCTCTCCCCATGATTTACTCTGAAGTGAGTTTCTGGTAAATCAGTCGCTGGTTCGACTCCTCCTCTGGTTTCAGCAGTTTGAATTTGTATTTACTGTAATGGCACTCAGACTAACCATTCTAGGTCTCCAACCCGTGGTCCAGGGACCAGTGCCAGGTCGTAGGTCATTTGGTACCGGGCTGTTGTTGTTTGGTCCCCTGGACATTGTTGAAAACGCTTTTGTCATTTTTCTGCAAAAGTGACATTTTCACTGAGCGGAAAAAAATAATATTTAGTCGGGGCCAATTTTCACTTGGTAAGAAGCTGTGGGACATGTCTCTCTCTCTCCCTCGCCCTCTCTCTCTCATTGGCCCAGTGTGTCAGTGTTGAAGGGCCAACTCTTTGGCTAATGAGAGTGCAACAATAACATGGCTGTGTGTTTAATTGCTGTGCTTTGGTCTAATCAGAATGGATGGTTCTATTCAGCTGTGATTACAACCTGGACGAGTGAGGCAGCTCCAGCTCCGACGCCTCACTGACCTGTTTTTATTGGATTATTCTTCACTGATGCTGCGATGAGACCGTGTTCTCTCTCTCTCTCTCTCTCTCTCTCTCTCTCTCTTTTCCCTAATGCACTCTAGCAGAGCAGAAACAGAAAAGCTCCTGAAGCCGCGGCAGCGTCTGACACTTTATTACGGCAGTTGCGGTTTCACTGAAGGATAAAAGTGCTCTGGTCTCATCTTGTTACTGAGCGTCTTCACCGCTCCTGATGTTTGATGGAACTGTTTTTACAGTCAAGCTATTTTCATCCTAACACAATGGAGGGAAGTGTCAGAGTGTTTATATATGATCTCACTGATAGGTCTATAGAACTGAGCACGGTAGAAGCTGACAGATGCCCACGTCCTACTGCCTCAGCTTCTGATTGGTTCGTCTTATAGGCTGTTAACGAAACAAATAACACTTTGTTCCAAATGCGTCTTTAAAAAGACATAAACCTGCGAGGTGTCGACGATAATGTGTCGAGGGAGCGGCAGAAAAAAATTACATCTGTGCAAATGGAAACAGCCAGTTGTCACTGAGCCTGAACACATTTAGGGGGGGGGGGGGGGAGGGGGGACAGAATGACATCCAGAGGTGGAGATTTGTGAAAGTTCATTTTCTGATATATTGTTTTGCTACGATGACAGACATTAATAATAAAGTGGTGACATTTTCAACATTTATTTATGGGGAAACTTCTGCCTGGAGTTGTTTGTCTTTAAACAGCTGCAGGTCGGTCTTTTTAACCTATAAAAATGTCCAACAATGTGAGCTTGGTTTGGTTGTAGTCTGTGGTTGATTCAAGTATTGATTTTTAAAGAATTAATGTTTTTGTTTAAGAAAACCGTTTTAGGCTAAAGTCAGAACATTGGCTCCTCAGTACTGCAGTACTAGTACACATCAGGGTATTGGTGTTGGTGACATTTGTGTCCAGATATGTGAGGTGACAGGTTGCATGTGTAGCCTGTGTCCTCACTCAGCAGCAGACACAGCTCTCTGCAGGAATCGAACAAAGCCTTCATTTCCACTGGTGTCCTTCACCATCTGCTGTTGCCATGGTGAGGGAAGCCTCACTCCAGCGTGGACACAATCATCGCCTGCCAACCTTGTCCCTCTGCAAGTTCTTCTTCAGTAAACACACCAGAGTTCACTCCTCAAACAGCTCTTCTTTACCAAATACCTGTTTGGTTTGAAGTATTTTATAAATACATACACATCAAACTGTACGCAGATGATACTGTACCTTATAACAGTAGTGAAAAGTACCAGGATTCATGAAGTGAAGTTTTTGTTAAATTAAAGTCAGCCTTGTTATAAAATATCAACCTGTCGTTGGAAATGTTTAGTTAAAAAAATCAGACAAAAACCTCCGTCGGTTTGTGACAAAGGAGCAGGAAATGGAAGAGAAGTGGAGGCTGTTGTGTTCACATCCTCCACAGAACTCCAAGGTCCCTGTCTGCATTGGCCAACCCCCCCCCACACCCCCCACAAACACACCACCACATAAACACAAACAAACACAGGAAGATCATAGAAACTCCATACACAGAGAGAACAACAGTTAGAGCTGTGGGAATTGAGCTGCTAACCTTTTTTGCTGTAAGGCGAGAGCAGTAACCGCCTGGTCTCCCTCTGGAAATTATTCCCTTGGAAAAATTAATAAGGTGGAAAATGAAAAAACTCTTTTTTTGCAGCCCTTTTAACAAGAAATATAGAAGCAGGGAACTGTGAAGTACTACAGACTTATGGAAAACGTATGGTTTCATACAGATACTGTGTAGTACTACAGTACAAACCTTGAGTACAGATAGTTTCTTGGGTGAATTTAAACTGTTATTAACATTTATAGTGGACCTTGTGTAAAGGGGAGGAGCTTAAATGACGCAGAGCGAGTGGAAAGAACTGTTAAATATAGACAGAAAAGTAACAGAACTTGTCGGCAGTTCCTCTGTGAACCCCTAGGTGTTGCTGACCCCTGATACACAGTACGGTTTGTTTTGACAACCTGCAGTAATTGCTTTTATAATAGTACACGCAGTCTTTGACTGGATCACCATCGGTACCGGGCTCCCGCTGCTCCCAGCTGAGCGTCATCGGCGCTGACAGGCGCTGGTTTGTAGCTTGATGCTGTTTTGCTGCGAGCTGACGGGCTGATAAATGTGCCTGACACGGCGGTGTCACTGACCAAAGGTGACGAGGAGCAGCGACAACTGAGCAGTGACTCGGCAGAACCGATGCCCGGCACAGAGATGAGTGTGTGGATCAGAACAGAGTGGACGTGTGGTGGGAGTCATTCATCAACGTCCTCACTGCTCTCACTGCCTCAAACACTAAATGTCAAAACACTCGG